ACGAGCAAAACACTTAAAATCGATTTCAAGCTTCTGGAAGCTGAAGTACTGGGGGAATGGGGAGTTAAAATCGATTTTAAGTCATGTACACCGGGGACCTCTTAGAATCGATTTCAAGTGACCAAATATCCGAGTCCTAGATTGCAGGAAGCAACACTTAAAATCGATTTTAAGTGAACCTTGAAATCAAAATCCAGTGTTTTTCAGTTTTGCTTTGCACCTAAGGTTCTGATGGCTCCATGACGAGCCACATCCATGCTCAGTGACACGGCAACTGCAATCGTAGACCCACGAATCAGCTGACGTGTAGCGGAACATGCTGTGGTGCGCACTGGATCAAGGGCACTACCCATGTATCGGATCAGGGGGCAGTAATGGATCACCTGGCGGGATCCTGTGCGGGGAGATTTCAAGCACGAATCTGATCAGGCAAGCAAGATCTAAACCTCAGAAATCCTAAGCCCTAAACGCCTAAACCCTGAATCGTGCATGCATGATCCGACATCCCGGGCTGTTACGCGCCCAGGCCTGATCCTCTTGGCTGTAGGCACTCTGATCTGTTACGAAGATCCTGCTGATCTAACACGCTGAGCCGTTACCCAACACCGATACGCGCCCCGTCTGAGCTGATACCTGCAGGTTCCCACTCCAATCATGGAGCCCAAATGCCCCCCAATGGCTTGGATTGCTCAATACTGCTCAATGACAGCACATGCATGGCAACCAAAGTAATTCGACTTTCTTAACTCAGGGCTCCGCTCCGCAGCGTCGGAATCACATCGGGATCCTGTCTAGACTGTTCCACCCTTACTCCATGTCTTGGAGACTTGCCATTACAAATCCAAGTCCTCCGCCAAGCGTGTTGCCACGAAGGCTGCTGCTTGGCCTATGTTGGTCTTCCTTGGGTGCGCAACAATAGCACTGCAGAGCTTCCTGTCTACTGGGTTGCTGTTAAGCAACTTAATTCAAATTACTATAGTATATTGGGGAAACCCTATTAATCACTATATATACCCGGTATGGTAACTTAATTTAAGTTCCTTAGCAGCAACCCAGTCTAGGCATTAGCCAGTCACATGCTGGGGGGCTGGACGGGTAAGAGCTAACCAACCGGGTGCTGCCAGACAACAAGATTTTTTGACAAGTCTGGGGATTACACAGTGGCCAGCCCAAAACTGAAATGCCTTACCCCGAGTTTCGGTGATCCACTCGCGCCTCTGTCTCCCTACTCTTCTCACATACGCATCGGTAATGGCTTGCATGCAAAGTTTTCATGGAGATCTGTAAGCCTTTCAGCACAGATGGAGCTGATATTGTGAAAGCAGGTCTGTGGCTGCATGACAGCAGGCTTTACATCGAACTTCAGCACTGGACACCCTCGAAATAAACGTATACTTCATAGCAAACAGCTGCAAACTGCGACCATGAACGTGAAAGCCATCCAAACGCTGACGCTCAGCTACGGAAAGGCATGAACAACTCGAACTGCGCATCAACCTGGATTCGTTTGTAGGTCTTTGAGCGTTTGGACTTGCCATGTCTAGTGTAACGATGAGGGCCTCCAGATTTTCTGCAGATTCATACATTCAGCTTTGGCCATAGAAATTTGACGGCCACTCTCATGTCAAATAAGGTTTTTGCTTTTTGCGTCTTTCTGCTTTGGACGTCACAGGATTTATGGTTTCATCTGTTGAGTTTTGCTGGGTTCTGGCTTGGCTTGGCTTGACGCGACCGTCTCCAGCAAATTACCACGTTGCACTAAACACTGCCTCTGCTGAGAACTTGAACCCTGAAAACCTACACTGTGAATACCCTAAACCCAACACAACTGCTATAAACACCTTAAACCACCATTGTAGGCCCAGAATGGCCCAAAAATGCAAACTCAACAGCTGTGCGAAACCTTGAACACCATCAAAGCCCTCAATGCTGACACCCTCAGCTTCCAATATGCCAGACCGCTTTGGACGCAAAGCTTCTTCGGTCGGCAAAGAAGGCTAAGCATCGAGCTGGGGATGCAGCAGCACAAAGCGGACTAGTGGATGTCATAACGCCAAACCATACAAACCCAAACCCCAGCCTGCATGCAACCTTGGATCTGACCAAGAAATACGAGAACTCTACAAGCCCCCCCAAAAAAAGTCACAGACGCCTCAGACACCCAGAAAAAAAATGGATAGGATCCAGGAACCTGAATGCGGATTTACGGTTAAGGTGCCGGACACCTCATATTCCCGCACGCTGTCCCGCTCAACAGCTGACCCTGTGCACTAACCCACCCACCCCAATCTGCCTGACCGCGCCCACTCACACCAGCCTCCTGCTGTGCTGCAAACGCACAGACATTCATGACTCCGCCCCGAGATCTGTCTACCCCAGTCTGCCGTACACCACGCAGCCCTCCTACTCAAGTCTCTTCAGCGTGAAAACTCCAAAGTGTTACGCACTAGCGTCACTAGCGCATGCTGTGGCAAGCGAACATGTATTGTAGTCGGCTGATTGTACCGCAATCCGGGGGGCAATGTAATTACTGTGATCGGCTCAAAATCCGGCTGTTTGAAACTATGCCTACTTCAGTCAAGAAAGAACGCGACACAAGCATGCTCCAAGGAAGAAGGAAAGGAACGGAAGCACCTTCTCTTGCGCACTGCCGCTAAGCATCTGCGAGATGGGAACGATTTCCTGGAGCAGCATTGGAACAGCTGAGGACTATCCTCTGCTCTCAACCAGAGTAGAACCTGTGTCAACAATTTCTGCGAGGTCCTCCTTTTTCTCTGACTCTGATTTCGGCTGAAGCTGCGCAACCAACTGAACAAGCTGCACGTTGTCATCATTGTCCTGGAATATTTCGAGAATACAAAAAAATGACCCCAAAAAAGGTGCCAGAAAGTTCTGACACGCATGCCTACCGAGGTCTCCCGCCGTCCTGCTTCTGGACGTGTCGCTCCTGAGCTGATGCACGAGAATTTGTGGACTCATGATTGACTAGCGTACCCCCACATCACCAAATCATACGTATGGTCCGTATGGTAGTGCTGACAAACCACGGCAACAAATAGCACTTCTTTGTCCGGCTGTTCCTGGCGGCGAGGTGAAGATGTCGAGAAAGTCTGATTAGAAACTTATGGCTCTGTCCTTTGCGAGCCAGTGGCCCGACATTGTCAGGGAGCGCAGGGCCGAATGCAGTGCTCTTGGACCGATAGCAGATACCCGAGCATCACGACCTTCACGCAGCCTTCAGAATCGCTTGCTACAATGCATGAAAAATATTGCTCGATTTACAAACCTTGGTCTGATGATGAGCTCATGCCCCAACCTGTGCGCAATTGCCCCACTGAGGTTCGGGATGTTGCCAGTTGCCGACGCAACGAGCACCTCACACCTTGGAACAAGCGCCAGCTGGTCCACAATGCAGGCATCCTACCGCGGCGCATGCTTCTGCCCTACCAGAACGCCAACTTTACAAAACAAAAATCCAAGCTTCGTGTGCGCAGTTGTGGATGTGGTGCGAATCTTGCATCCCTTTAACCACGCATTTGCTCGAAGGCGGGCAGAAAACATCTCCCTGGTCACGGTATGTCACCGTGCCACTCATGTTTGTGGTAATCGGATTTGCTACTTGCGATGTTGTCAACAAACGTTGCCGAACCACTACCGTGTCCTGACACAAAGAGAGAACTGCTCACTTTTCTTTTCATATTGGTATCTCTGCTCCACGCTTGGGCCAGCAGGGTAATAAATCAACTGTGCGTTTGATCTTGCGACCTGTGCAACACAGTTTAACTTGCCGCAAGCGGCAGATTTCCGGGTCCAGATTCTGGCCACGACCTGCAAATAAGAAAACACGGCATGCAACAGGACAACGAGCTAGACTGAGCTGGACTGGACAATTGGCGTCTTGCATTTTTTTCGCTGAAGCGAAGCTATCGTAATCGCTCAATCACCAATGCACTTGCACCCCCTCCACCGTTTGCAATCGCAGCACAGCCTGTCTCTGCATCCTGCACTGGCATCGCATGTGAAAGATCTGTTTGTGCTCGACGGTATGATAAAATGACATTTGTGACAGCCTGGCCTGTTGCACCAGCACGCTCAGGAGTGTGCATAGGATGCGAGCACCAGATGCGCCCAACGGATGGCCAAGCGCAACGCCGCCTCCATTCACATTTAGACGCCTCAGAAATGCGACATGCCAACAAACATGTTGCTTTTTCCATCTGGGCTTGGAACATGTTGCTACATGCGCAAAACTAAACCATGTCAAGACAGCTGAGTCAACCCGAGCAGCGAATGATCTATATCAAGCAGTCGCATATTTGCCAGAGCAACCTGAGTTGTGTGGATGTGCTTCAACCAATTAACCTGACAGCGCCCTGCTAATGAACTCGCGCGAGCAAAGCGACTGCAGCGAAGGCCTCGTGGATCTCATAGAAATTGATGGATGACATACGAGCAGCCCTCATGGCTGTGCGAACTGCTGCGCTTGGTGCTTTGGCAAAGTGAAGTGGCTCCACAGCGTGATCCGCAAACGAAACGATCCGGGCAAGTGGGGACACACCGAGATCCCTTGCCCGCGAAGCGCTCATCAGAACCAAAGCTGCAGCTCCATCATTGAGCGACGAAGTACTTGCTGCGGTGATCGTACCACCCTCTTCGAAAATCGGCGGCAGAGAAGCAACTGTGTCCAACTTTAGGCGCGCATACTCTTCGTCCACACTGACAATCATGGAGCGTTTTTCCATATTCGACTTGGTTCCGGTGCTTTTAACTCTGACAGGAGCAACCTCACCATCCATCGCACCTCGCTGCCATGCATCGGCCGCACGTCGATATGAAGAAATGGTGTATCTGTCCTGCTCCTCGCGAGATATGGAAAGCTCTTGGATTGTGTTCTCCACGCAACTGCCCATGTGACAGTCTTGGGTGGCATCCCACAAGCCATCCAGCAAGGCAATATCTTCAAGCGCACCATGACCATAATGATAACCGCCTTGTCGTGCATGACGAATTATGTAAGGTGCTTGGGACATGTTTTCCATGCCGCCAGCTACTGCCACATCTGACTGGCCAAGGGCAATGGCCTGTGCGGCCAGCGCAACAGCTTTGAGGCCTGAGGCACACGCTTTATTAATGCTGGTGCAATCGACGCTCGCCGGGATGTCAGCCAAAAGCGATGCTTGACGAGCAGCATTCTGCCCACAACCTGCCACCAGCACCTGCCCCAACATCACCGTGTCAATTTCGTGTGGCTCAAGGCCGGCTCGCCGCATCGCGGCACCGATCGCCGCAGCAGACAAGCGAACTGCGGACAGAGAAGCCAAGCCACCGCAGAATGAGCCAATGGGAGTGCGCGCTGCACCAGCGATTACCACTTCTCTGGGCAAGTCAACCAATCCAGATGAAACCGCCCTTCCCCCCCAGCATCCCCGCACCCGCCAAACGCAGGAGGACGGCGAAATGAAGTGCCGAGAGCACATCTGAACGCAAATGCTATTGCGGCATGGAAACATTTAGCCGTGTTGCCCTACTCAAGCTGACAAGCTCGAGCATGCACTATGCAACCCATCGTGGGCAACCCAAATCTTCACCCAAAAATGAAAAACATCATTTAATCAGCGGGATGACGCCTTTGAAATTTCAACTTGCGCAAACATGGATTGCATGGGCCGCATACCTTACACTTGTGAGCCACAGCTGCGGTAATCAGCCGGCAATCTTGTTGGAACGAACCCCGTAAAGCTGACACAACACACTGAAGGCCAGGCCTGGAACTAAGTGTAGCCGAGGATGTCGTGACACCCTGGAAGCATGAGGTTTCAGGATGTGGTCATTTGATTTTGTGGCTTCCTAAATTCTGCCACTCAGTCACCGGCGTGCGCAACAAAGAACGTACAAAGAATTCGCATCCTCCGGGAGCTGCGACAAATTCACCTCGCCAAGCCGCTGAATGCGGGTGTACACACACACTGGTTCAACGGCCCGGGCCAGGCCCTGCACAATCCCATCCCATCGTCCATCATCATGCCTGCATGATATCACACAAACGTCTGCGGCTATCAGTGCCACAAATGAAGTTCAACCAACAAATCACCAGCCTGCATTAATCGTATTGTCTCGAACAAGGGTTTCACAAGCTTTGCTGGGATCATTTGAGCTGCTAAAAAAAGCGGAACAACATGCAACAGCCGAACCAGATATTCCAATGACATGTGACATGTTGTAAAACATACGGCGCCGAGGAACCTTATGGGGCACGGGTTGAGATTACATTCCCTCCACATGCGGTTGGAAGGCATGCTGGGCCCATGTCGAACTCCATATGCTGACATGCAAATTAGTGGCGTTCAAGCACCTGATAAAATTGCCTTTGGCATGCATGTAAACGTGAGTGACAAGCCGGCTGGTAATGGAATGATGGCCACCCCCCCCTCAGGAATCATCTGCCCCGTTCTCTCAAGATCACCTGCGCTCCCCCCTTCAAGAATTTCCACCTAATTCCGCGCCCGCCAAAACCATCCTCCCAACATCTTGTACTTCTACGACAATTCCGGCCCCCACCCGAGATGCATGATCCGCATACCACCTTGCGTTGCCGTCGGGCCGCAACCAAACTCGGACGGGACAAAATCAACCAAGTACAGGACAGCACACTACTATTCCAACGTCAAAAACCGACCCTACATACCCCCATGTATTTGTATTGTGGTAACAACACAACACTTGACATTCCCAACACCATCTACCGGACCTTTTTCTGCTAAAGCGGAAATTTGGAATAGCTTCATGGACTAACATCACGGCATAACGTAGACGAACGTGTATATAATGGTTGTTGCGCCAGTCTACGAAACTGGCGCGGCCGCGACGTGCAACGTTCTGCCCCCTAGAAATCACGTAGGGCAAATCACGTAGGGCAAAAAAACGCACTTCCAGGGAAATCACTTGGGACGAATGATATTTGTCAGGGCTTCGCTTTACGGACACTGTTTGGGATCCCTGTGGCCCTGCTAAGAGTTTCGCTGTGGTTTCATTTTTCTGGCCCATGTGAATATGGCCCTCTTTAACAGTTAAGCTGAAGGTCATATCTTGGGTGTATGTAGGGCTTCGCTTTGGGGTCACTCCTTGGGATCCCGGTGATTCTGCGTAGCGCTTTGTTTTAATTTCATTCCTCAAGCTAACTGTCGCTGAGCATTTTCGCTCAGCTCGTTTTGGTCTCAATATGTGGTTCAATGATGCCACTCTGGCATCACATGGAGTTTTTTGACCGGCTGGATGGGGAGACTTCTAGATGGTCCCAAAACTGCTTGGGAATTATCATGTATTTTGTTGGGTGCGTTTTGGTACTGTTTGTCTTGGTGCATTTTCTCAGCGAGACCTACTTCTTGTTGGGCTTTTCTTACACATCGAGTACCACGCTTTAATGCATTTGATAACTTGAGATGCCCCGAAGACAGTGGGAAGGGATTGAGGAGACGGGGGCGTCTAGCCCCCTCAACCTCCCATGCGCCCGTGTCTGAGGAGCACGAAAAAAGACTGGCACATCTCAGCATCAAAGTCGCAAGATTGGTCATCGCATCCATAGTGGCAGCTGCTCAAAAAAAAGTACCTATAACAATACCAAGAATACACGTAAGCAGCATAAATAAAACACACGCGACTGTATTTCTAGAAAGTACGATCACGACAGAAGCATTTTGTGCAACCGTGACACAAACAAACGAACGGTGTCCCAAAAAAACATGAATCCAGAACGGCTTCGTATTCTGAATGGCTTGCAAACGTCAATAAACCTTGCGATTTACAAAGGCTATCTGCAAAGACGCTGATGTTTGTACATGGTTCTTCACAGCTGCCCCAGGATGAGAAGCCTACCTCATGTTCATTTGAATTGCGGCTGCGCCAACCCCTGGTGCAAAACCAACGGCTTACTGCAGTGCAGAGCAGGGCATGCAAAACGTTTCTTTAGTTTTCCAGGTGAGCCTGCTCAAGGGTTTTTTTGTTGGGTGATAAACTTGTTTGTGGATCTCGTTCCCTCATCAAGCCCATATGACCCCGTCAGTCCCGTCTGTAAGCAGCACATGCAGCACAAATACAAGGGGACAACCTAGACGAGAAGAAGCACGACAAACAACAGGACACAAAAAGGGACAGACAGGACCACAGAAAAACAGGACAGACTGGAGGACAAAAGAAGAAAACAAATGAAGGATGAAAAAAAACTCACCGTGCGACAGACAAACGCCCACAACCCACAAAAAGCTGCCAGTGCATCGCAGCACCGAAAAAGTTTTTGCGAAATTCTAGCGCCCAAAGACCGGTGAGTTGAAGGTCCCAGGCCTCCACACGCACGGAAACAATGTTAGCGCCCACAAAAAGCAACCAGTGGAGGTCCCAGGCCGCCGAGTGCACCCAAATAATCTTGGCGCCCAAACAAAGCAGCCAGTGGAGGTCCATGGGAGGAAACAATGCGGCCCCCGTGCCGCCAGCCTTCTGATGGGCTTGGTGATCACTGAGCGCCGTGTGCCACTGCCGGCGTCCTTGCCTCGCGGGCCATCCCTTTTGATCGAGCACTCGCCAGGGTATGCCACGAAGTGGGCGCACATGCGGCCAAGAACGTGCAACTGGCTGACATGAGGTTGGAGGTGCCCGTGCAGGATGCCCGGCGCATTGACGTGGTGTGCAACCGGGCAAGCCAACAGCGTAAGCCACGTTTCGCTCACCACTATTTGTCTGGGGTGGTTTGGACTCGCCAACTACCACGCCAGGACAACTGTTTGAAGGAACATGTCCAACTGCGTCGCATCGGCATAAGGCAGCACAGAACCGCCTAATTACGACTTGGTTGCTGCTGCTGCAATCGAGTGTTGAAACTTAACCAACAGCTGCATGGGAGTGAAAGCCAAATGATAAGGCCTGATGGGGATGTTCCCATCAATAACTGCTGAATGTTGGTTAGAAGGGGCCGTATCGGTGTGCCTGTTCCACGGAACGAAGGCATTCCGGGTCGTGTTGCAAGGCCTTGTGCTCGAGAGGGCTTGGGTGTCAGCATCCATCCTGGAAGACTGCCACGGAGATTGCAAAAGTCTTTTTTTTGCGTACGTACGTGATCACGGTGCTCAGCCACATCCAGGCTCAAGGAAGCTCTCCCTATGATCTTGGGGTGGGTAACCTGGGCGTTCGCCGATGTTTGAGCAAGGAGGCAACCGCGCTCCGTCTCTGACATGCAACACTGGCAGTTGGAAGCAAACCCGCACCGGCAGGGATGCTCAACCTTTTGGAAGCTATACCAACAGTGCTGCCCAGACATGCACCCTCGCCTGAGAGGCATGGCGGGGCGCACTCCTGACTCAAGGAAGCTAGCTGTATAGGCTTGCTTACCAAAGGTGTCCTGCCTATCACATAGGCTCCAGCTGCACATGCGCAGCACCGGATAATGACCTCTCATCCCACAAGCCATGTGCAAGTGAGAATTCCCCAACCCCAACAACAACAACAA